ACAAGGCGAAGAGATACAAGAGGTTATACATACAATCCATATGCCACCACTGCAGAATCCAGAAGAGTCTTCTGAAGAAGAGGACGAAGGCGCTACAACAGAAGCCAGCCAGGATATGGATATACCAACTTCGTCCACACAAAGTACTGAAAAACCTCATGAGGATCACAACGCAGGATCTCTGCCTACACCAGCTGTGACAGCTACTCCAGATCCAGACAATCACATGGGATATCACCAAGTCTCACCAGCTACAGCCAGCCATAGTTCCACGCCTACTCCAGAAACACAGCCATCTACTCGTACATCAAGAAAACGAAAGCGACGCGACTCAATAGAGCAATCAGTAGACACAAACGCTGCAGCAAATCGCGAACTTATCGACAGCAATCTACGCCATTCACATATACTGCTAGAAGGAGCAGCAAGATCTAGGAAGCCCACACGCAAAAGCAGCAGCTTCTTCGTCCGTAAATACTGGTCCACGTTCGTGGCAGCATCTATCATAGCTCCAAAAACACGATTCTACCACTTAACTCTACCTCCTAAGCCACGTTTCTATCAAGATGTTATAAAGCTCCCTACCGTACATAAGCAAGGCTTTATAGCAGCAATGCAACGTGAGATCTCAGATATTAAGCGCAAGGATACGTACAAGACTATATCCTGGAAGGATTTTAACACTCAAGACACCGAAGTCCTGCCGCTGATATGGGTGTTTAAATACAAGCTTGATAACAAGGGATATCTAGTTAAATACAAGGCTAGAATCTGCGTTTGAGGCGATCTACAAGCAACAGCTAAGGATACATACGCTGCAACTCTAGCTACGCGCATCTTTCGAGGACTTATGGCTATCGCAGCATACTTCAACCTTGAAATACGCCAATACGACGCAGTCAACGCATTCACTAATGCTCAACTCAATACACCTGTTTACTGTCACCCGCCAGAAGGCTTCTCTGATGCTGAGCATCTGTGGGAACTACGCAGAGCTCTCTATAGGCTCAAGGCCTCACCACTACTGTGGTACAAAGAGCTCACAAAGACGCTTAATGAACTAGGTCTTCAAGAAGTCAAAGAGGCACCTTGCCTTTGGCGAAATAAAAAGCTTATTGTCTTCTTTTATGTTGATGATATAGTTATACTCGCGCGTCCAGCCCATACAGCAGCACTTAACAACTTTAAACGTAAGCTACTACGTCGATATGAGATCCAATCGCTTGAAGAACTATCCACCTTCTGTGGAATACAAACACACCGCGACAGATCAACTAGATCTATCTAGCTATCGCAGTCAGCCTACCTTGACAAGCTTAACGCCAAATATCCATCACCAAAGTCGTTCAAGCGGCCTCCAGCCACTCCTCTCCCTCTAGAGGAACTACTCCCTTTAGGCCAACCAAGAAATGACGCGAATATACATAGATACGCACAGCTAGTTAGATCAATTAGCTATGTGGCAGCTACTACACGACCTGATGTATTAAAAGCGCATTTAAAACTAGCTAAATTCCTCACCAACCCTTCACAATAGCATATCAATGCTGCCTATCAAACGCTCAGCTATCTATACTCTACTAAGGATCAAGCACTGTACTACAATGCCTCCATCTCTACCGACATAGCACATATTGAAGATCATCAAGAACCAGACTTCTATGGTGCTACGGATGCCTCGTACGCCGACCACAAGGCCACAAGGAAAAGCTCGCAAGGCTACATCTTCTTCCTATTTGGCGGGCCTATTGACTAGAAGGCTACACTGCAACGATGTGTCACAAAATCAACTACTGAAGCTAAACTAATCGCCGCCTCGTCTGCAGGCACAGAGCTGCTATGGTGGTGGAGACTATTCAAGGAGATTAAATTTGATCCAGGCAATGAGCAGATACTATACTGCGACAATCAACAGACAATACGGCTGATTACAGCAGCTACACCACGACTCAAGACGTCGCTTAGGCACGTCGACATACATCATCACTGGCTTTGTCAAGAAGCACAAGCTCACAACTTCAACCTCACATATATACCAACTAGCGTTCAACCCGCTAATGGACTTACTAAACTACTGCCTCGTTAGAGACACGAAAATTGGGTATCACTTTTACATTTCAAGATCTTTCCTACTATATAAGCTATAGCTATATAGTGCAGTACTCTTCCTAGTTTTTCCTCTATGGTTTTTACAGGTTTAACGAGGCTGTACGCTTACAAAGCTCTTTCATTAAATATCAAGGCACACTACTAAACTCCATACAAGAACAAGAAGCAGTCAGGACCTCAGTGCTAGCTCTAGGAGACGTCCGACTACTAGGGACGCCCATAGTACAGAGCGAGGTCCACCTACACCGCGACGGCGGACGATCCCCACCTGGCACTGCTCCAATACAAGCGGCAACCCACCGCACTCTTGCAAGCAGCCCTACTCTGTAGAGCAGGGGGTGGCCTATGATCACATTAGCTTCAACATGCGTTCGAACCTAAGGGAGGTGTGTAAGCCCAGAAGTACCATGTATGGTCACGTGGTTGCCCACTGACTAATAACACCGTATTTAAACTTGCTCCTATCATGATACACATCAGAATACACAAGACTTCACACACACTCAACTGCTTACAACATAAGATAATAGAATACAATCTTGTACATAGCTAGTCTATTACTATCTACATTGAGTCCTAGTGTGTCCTTGGATATAGCACTTCGTACACGTTAGTGGTGCGCGCTGACGTCCCTAAGTAGCCTAAGCTTGTTCTACCTCCGCGACCACCCTTTCTGCCTCTATAGCGAGCTGCTAGCCTTGCTAGGCCTATAGCGCTCCTCCACGAGCTATATATTAACGTCGCTAGTCTCTCCTACGTCGCTGGCGCTAACTAGCTGTACGAAGCTTCCTATTCTCCTCTACGAGTATAGTCGCTGAGTTCATCGCAAGCTAACAACCTTTAACAAGCTGGCGTATAGCTTAGCTTGTTAGGCTCTGCGACTAGCGGTGAAGGAGGTCCTTTACGTGTTGAGCCTGCTTTTTAAGCTGCGCTATCGTACGCGGTGTCTCTGCGGTCCATGCGACGTTGTTGTCTGCTGTTGTCCCTGGTGGAGACGGCGTACGGACGACAGTGAGCGACGATAGGACGCGTTCTGGACAGGGAGGGATAAGCCCTGTCGCCTGGAAGCCTGCCTGGATGTTCTGCTGCGTAAGTACTGCTGGCCGGATCCGTGTATAGGCGGTAAGGAAGTCTATCTTGTCAATATGGTAGACGCCTTGGCGAGCTAGCTCCTGGATCTCGTGACCGTACGCTCGCTTGAGCGGGAAAAAGCAGCCCACATTAAGTGGCTGGAGCAGGTGGGAGGTATGGGCTGGCATACAGAGAGTGATGATCTTGTTCTCTGTGCAGTACTGGTCGAACTCAGGCGTGGCGTGGCTGCTATGGCCATCTAGGATAAGAAGCCGGTAGACTCCATGCGTACGAGGCGCTGTATATCTATTAAAGTGCTTTACCCACTCTACGCCGAGCTCATCTGTCGTCCAGCCGTTGTCTGATACAGCGAGCACCCAGTCTATAGGGATGTGGTAGTACCAGCTAGCCTGGTGCTGCTTACCAGACAGGATCACGAACGGTGGAAGACACCAGCCAGACGCGTTGATACACTCGATTGTCGTGACCCAGTCTCTGTTCCCTGGTTTGTACTGTGGCTGCCCAACCTACAGTGTCAGAGCTAGTGACCACCTTGGACGTCGCTGCGACGCCCATCATAAAGCCAGTCTCATCAAAGTTGTACGTGTCTGTGTCTTAGTATCCCATA